CCATTCCGCTGCACATACTCCTGCCCTGCTGCGACCGCACTCTGCCCGAGCTGCATCCCAAACTGCGCGGTTGCGGGATTGACGCCCCATGCCGAAGCTATGTCCGGAATCCCGGGTCCTTGCAGTCCAGCGGGCTGAAAGTGGGCTTGGGGGTGAGCTTGGGAGGCATGGGCCTGGGAGTGAGCGTGGGAGGCATGAGCTTGGGGATGGAATTGAGGCGCGTAAGCTGCCTGAGTGTAGATGGATTGTGGAGGTACCGGGGGTGTGCTGGTATAACGCTGATAGCCTTGAGGCGAGACGGGGGTGGACGGCGGGTCAGGAATGTACGTTGGATGGGTCGGTACGGGGTGCTGCAGTGGCGGCGGCGAGCGAGAGTAGTAGTTGGCCATACTGTCCCAAGTCCTCCGGTTTCCTGAGTTTGAAGTACTTTGGCTCCAAGGGGCTGCTATAGTCGTGGCGAGCACGTGAGCGCAGGCGAAAGACGTGTTCGGCGCGACAAGTCTGGGAAGCGGAGACTCAAATTCAGACGAGCCCCCAATATCATCATGACCCTCCCGAGAACGGACCGATATTGTAAGTCACTTCAAAATCCCTGCAATCTAGCTGACTGGATTGCACACAATTAGAATCTGTACATCAGCGTTGTACTAGTAAGTGGTAAAGGTACCTGTTGCAGTCGTTCCTTCAGTAGTGGCGGGTTCAGTCTAAGGTGGTAAGGTGGAAGAGGGGGCAGAGTTAGGACACTGGAATTTCCTGGCAAGCTCTGCCTTTTATACGGAAGTCAGTGGTACTAGCAAGTGATTGACATATACTCGACGATGGTTCCCAGCTCGGAAAGAAGTCTGTGTGCCGTATATAGTAGCCAAGTTACCTGAACCGGTTGTATTGGAGTTCCTTGAATATCCGTAATGTCTCCAGGTCCCATTTTATATTATCTCCCGCTGGCAAAATACAAAAGGGGATCTGGTACTTGCGGACCTTGTCCTCCTGTCTCCGTCTTCAATGCCCTCCCGGGACATTATTCATGGCCTATTCCGTGGGGCTCCCTATAACGAGGTCGCTGTACCTGGAGGCCATGTCTACTCCGGTCAAAGTTACGACCACACCCGGCATCAAAAATGCCCCGCTCGTCGGGTTGGCCATCTCGAGAGGTCATCGATCATCCGCCATGTAACAACGTCCCACTCCTCTTGCAACTATCAAAGCGCAGCTTATAGCCGGGCTCCTGATACTGCTGCCGGCTGACTCTGCTGAATGTCCGCCCTCGACGTTGCCCTGCTCGCAGTGCCGATTCTCCCCGCCCCTCGAATACCGTACCAGCGCGTCCCCGTCCGTCCGTAGTCAATCGTCGCCGCCGTGCAGTTCGAGAGACTTGAAGAAAGGAGAGATTCTCGTTTTCGTTACGTTACATCCGTCATCTCCCCGGGCCCCGCTCCGTCCCTGCCCTCCAGTAGCCTGCTACAACTCCGAACATACCCTGTACAACGGTCCCGAGTCAACGGGGGGGACTTCAAACCTGATACCCGGCCTCGACGGCCTACTTCGTCGGCTAAGGCGTGCTCGCAGCCATGGATCTTCTCCTGCGGCGAGTAACCCGTCTCCGCAACTCGTCACTTCCTGCGCGGCACACTCGCGCCAGATACCCCACGCGCCGCGCCTCGCTGCGCGTCCAACACACTCGGCATTGCCCTTTCGCCCGTCAAGATGTCGCGCACGCTGTCGTGAGTCCCGCCTCATCAATCTCAAGGCGCATTCACCCCGACCGCGCTGGAAGCACCGTACGCACCATAACACATCGCGCAGACACCCACCAGTTGACAGGGTCTCTACCCGCCCGACAGCACGGCACGTCGACCTGTTGGTGTGCAGCGTTGGGCATCGCCTGCGGCGGCTGGGGCGACGTCAACCGTGTGCGGGACTCTCATACGCGCAACACGTCACGCGCTGCATCATCCGCTA